ACAGATGGTCTGACGTTTGTCCCCACAAAGACCACACTGCTCCCCTGTCCTGCCTCATGCCCAGAGGATTGCCCTATCTGCTGCATGGCTTCTTGGGTCCCTCCTGCCTCTTCTTAGGGACCCAAAACTTCAAGTGTACATGGGGTTCATGCCTTAGCTTGGACCCCTTTGAATCCTGGATATAGGGGTACAGAAACTGCCTAGAGGGAGCTGTGACCTAGTGACTCTGCCCCAGGCCACCTGTGCATTGTATGAGGTCCTGTCTGCCCCATCCTCTGGAACTGTGGTCCTGGAGCTCTACCCTCGGCTGTTTGTAGCACTCCTCCTGCGCGTCAGCTGCACTGTGGGTGTCCAGCTGCCCAGGAACCTGCAGGGCAAGGAACGGAGGAGCACCAGCCCAGCCAAACCAGCCAGGAACCTTGATCCCTGCAGGTAACAGGGCTCCATGCTTACTTGTAGGCACAGGTGGTGTGTGTGTGTGTGTGTGTGGCATGGGTGCACAGTACTGGGGACAGGGAGAGCAGGGTGCCAGCTTCCTGGCCCTGAAGAAGACAGACTTTGCTTCCAAGAACCAAAAGTGCTCCCTGTGCAAGTTGGGTGGTCGTTTGTGACCCTTCAGTGTTTTAATGAGTTTCCAGGTCTGTACACTTCCTGAATTTCTTCTCACCTATGCAGGTAGCCCCAAGCTGGGATAGTAAGGTACCACATGGCTATGCTGACTGGGGCTATGGAGCACTCAAGTGAAGTCAGCCTGGCATTCTTGAATTTTGGCTGGGCCAAGCCTCTGTATTGTCTCAGCTTAGTAACCTAGTCAGGAAGTGCTAACATGCCCTGGGCCTCTTGACATCCAGAGCTAAGTTCTTACTGTCTTTGCTGAGTCCTAGCTGGTTAGGGCAATTGAGGCAGGGTACTTGCTTACATCGGCGAGGTCTGGTAGACCATGGTGTCTGACTCCTGCATGCTAGCGTGCTGGTCTTGCTCCATGCAGCATGGTTTTGAGCACAAATTGAGACCTCCAAGGGAGGCATAGCACTGACATCTAAAGCGCAAAATGTGGCCACCATTTCCGCATTCCCTTCCTGCCCTAGCTCCTTACTACCCAGATTACCTGGCTGTGGGTGTGCACTGTGGCCAGGGACACTGGGATCAGACGCCCTCAGTCTGCCCCACTGCTGCCATCCCTTGGACAGAACTGTTCAGTCACAGTGCCTGCACGTAAACTCCAGCAGAAGCTGGCATGTGAGCAGGACCAAGCAGACCTGACCTGGCGTGCCAGGAGCCAGCTCGTGTCTGTGAAGACCCCTGTCTGAGCTCTTTGCAGAGGACAGCTGACAGGTCACCAACAATGCCCCCGTGCTTTACAAACACTTCTTCAGGGTTGTGTGCAGAGGTGCCTCAGTTGCTCATGTGTCCCTAATTAAGCATATACTTCCCCTCAGAGGCCTTGCAGTGGGCTGAGAGTAACTGAGCAGGAGTCCTCTGCATGGGCTGCAGGCCAGTTGTGGCTCTTCATGTTCTGGGTTAGGACCATGCTCAGTCCTCTTCCAGCCTGTGGTTGGCCCTGCCCACACTGAGGATGTTTCTTATAGGTGTACTGTGGGCATCTGCCCAGTTACCACAGCAGACTGCCTTGAAGCAACTAGATCTTTCCCTGGAGCACAAGATTCCCGAGAGCTGCCTTCTGGCTGTTTTCTTGGGGGGGGGGGAGGTTAAGCCCAGATAGGATGGGACCTGTAGGTGTTTATCTGGGGCTGTTGGTTAATGGCACTTTGCCTAAAGATGCTCATGGGGAATGAAGCCATTCCTGCCCATCACCTCAGGCTGTAGCTCCCTAACCCTTGTTCCTAAGACGACTAGTCTTGCTTGCCCTACATGAGTGCCTGGATCTATTCAGTCTCAGTGAACTGGGCATAGTCCTGTATGCCACCTCTTCCAGAGGCCTCTGGGTCTTGAAAGTCCGGGCCTTAATGGTTCTGTATATTGGTAAAGGCCAATTTGGCTAGCTCACCTCCTGGCCAACAGATTGGTCTATTACCAGTGGTCCATTATCTATCCTGATAAGCTCTGAGCCTGCTCCTTGAAGGATGATACTGGCAAGATAGGCCTGGGAAGCCACACAGTGGTCCTGGTAGAAAGGAACACGGCAGCTGAGCCATCAGATCCCACCCATTCTACATACAAACAGCTCTGCAGTGGACGCCCTTCAGGCCTTGCTGCTCCGAGGTGGCAGTCAAGATGTGCTGCGGTGTGTGGAGCTGGAGGGAGGCTGGGAGTTGCTTAGGACCTCAGCAGGGCATGAGGATGGAGTCGCCCAGCTGGCCAGGTAAGCAAGCCACATCCTGTCCAGGGGACGTGTGGGTGTGGGGTACACACACCTGTCAAGAGGCACAGAAAAGGGGTGTCCTGTGGGCTGGACAAGGGTAGAGGGGTGGGAGAATGTCTGAGGAGCACTCAGGGCCATGCCAAGTGGGAGGTAAATGCCCCTTGGGTTAACATAGAAGCTGGTCTCTGGGTAGTGATTGGCCAACACACAGGTTGGCCAGCTTCTGCCTTTTGGGACCTCCTTCCCTAGTTCCATGGCAAAGTATGCAGGCCCCCGACTTCCTCTGGTGATGAAGGCACTCGTGAGCACACAGAGCAGCGTGTATGAGGTCCAGAGGGTCACTTCTACTGCTTTCCTGGCTGAGGTAGGACCTTGGAGAGGGCTATGGTCCTAAGTCTTGTTTTGGAATGAGAAGATGCCGTCTTCTCAGGATTAGTGGGATAGAATATGGGCAGCCATACCCTACAGACAAGCTCAGCCTGCGTAGTCCTTGCCAGAGCTCGCTTAGCTCCACCCGGTAAAACCCTGCCTGGAGCCTGTCAGGGCTACGCCCTAGGTTAGGTCTGAGCCCCTGTTGCCTGAGGCTGATAGCCAGGGTAGGGGAAGCTAGGGTAGGGGCAGGCCATCAGCTTCCCCCTTTCAGGAAACTGTAGGCTAGTGTCTGGACCTAGGCTGGTGGGGGTCAGCTGGTACAAATGGTCAGAGCGGCTCTGCCTCCAGCTGCTCAGCAGTAACGTGGTCAACGACCTGATGCTCCTGGAGCCACTGCTGGACAACCTGACAGCCCGGTTAAAGGATTCAAGTGCCAGTGTGCGGCGTCTGGTGCTTCGAGGCCTGGCCAACATCGCCTCTGGTTCACCTGATAAGGTGAGCCAGCCTCCAGGAGGCCAGGAGACAAAGGCTGGGTATCAGGGGCAACATGGGGAAACTGACTCGGCTTACAGCTGCGTGGGTTTGCCTGTAGGCTGGACAGTCTCTGAATACAGTGGTCTCGTAGGTGCGAGCTCATGGCCCCCAGCTCATGACAGCTATGGTCAGTGGGCTGGACGATGGTGATGAGCCACACAGTCTGGTGGCCTTGGAAGCCATGGTGGGCCTTGCACGGCTGCTAGATCTAGTGGAGCCATGGGACCTACGCGTGGTGCTGCTGCACACAGCCATCCGCATCCGGCCCTTCTTTGACAGTGTAAGCTGTAGGACACCCCAGGGAAGGCCTGTCTTCACCCTCTGCCGAGCTTTGAGATGCATACTTACCCTGGGCACTGCTTTGCTGAGACTGGCTGGCTGGCTCCCCAGCCCCAACGATCACGTCTTCATGGCAGCCTCCAGCCTCCTGTACTATTGCATACCCACCCCCACAAACCACGTTCTAATTTGTAGTACAAAAGTAGGCGCTCGGTGTGCACACAGGCCTGCCTGGAAAGGGGGGCTTGCAGTGACACGGTTGCACCCTGCTAGGAAAAAGTGGAGTTCAGGACTGCATCCATCCGACTCTTTGGGCACCTCAACAAGGCTTGCCATGGGGACTGTGAGGACGTCTTCCTGGAGCAGGTCGTGGGTGGCTTGGTGCCACTCCTCCTGCATCTGCGGGACCCTCAGGCTTCAGTGGCCAGTGTGAGTGACCATCGGGTTCAGGGGAAAGGGTGCTGGGCTCAGCCTGACCTCCCCGGGGCCTGGGAGGCATCTGGGCATAGCACTCCCTTGTGTCACAGGCCTGCAAGTTCGCCCTGTGCATGTGTGTCCCTCACCTGGAGTGTGCTGAGCTGGCAGCTGCCTTCCACAAGTACCTTCAGGAGGGCCGGAGTGTGCACTTTGGGGAATTCCTCAACTCTACATGCAAGCACCTGGTGAGAGGGTGCTGTGGGAGACCCTGCCTGCGGCGGGCGGAGGACCGGACTCTGACCCTCGTGTTCTGCAGATGCATCACTTCCCTGACCTGCTGGGCCGGCTAGTGAGCACCAACCTGTTCTACTTCAAGAGCAGCTGGGACGACGTCAGAGCCGCCGCCCCCATGTTCACAGGTGCGCAGGCCCCCCTCCCCCCCCACCCCTCAAGTTTGCACACCACACAGCTTATCCCATCCACTTCAGGGTTCCTGGTGTTGCATGCTGAGCCTGAACAAAAGCCACAGGTGGACCTGGAACAGCTTATTGCAGGTGAGCACACCCCCAAACCCCCAAATCCAGGACACCTGGCCCTCGGCCCCATCCCAACCTTCCCACCTCTGTTGGGGCTTTGCTGACCCTGTAGGCACCCGCAGGGACTAAGTGATTTTCCTGGATTTCAGGATTTCTACACCCCCCCCCATCACTGGTGACCTCATCGTCTCTAGTAATTCACGGAAACTTCTTAACTGTTCCAAAAGAGCTTAAAAAACACTAAAAAAGGAAAAACTATCTTTCCGTTGGCTCACGAGCCCTCCCAGCAGAGGCCTGTCTGTTAAGAAGGCCGTGGGCGGCCCCACGCACAGGCCCAGGCATGTGTACAACTGGCCTGTTCCCCTCTGCCCTCAGCCTTGCAGCTCCTCCTGAAGGACCCAGTGCCTGGGGTGCGGGAGAAAGCGGCTGAGACGCTGGGCCGCCTGGTGAAGTTTGCCTGAGGCTGACTGCGCTCCTGCAAGCGATATGCCAGCTTCCTGCCCAGAGGACTCTGCTGCCACCACATACAGGGCCAAGACTGTGGTGCCCCAGTTTATTGCCCAATAAAGCCACTTACACCTCAGTAGGTGACAAGCGTATCAGTGTCCCTCTTCCCTTCCTTCCGGGAAGGGAATCCTGAGGTCCCTGGGTCTGGAGTGAACAGCTCTCAGGGTGCAACCGAGAAGACCAGGACAGCGGGAATCAGGGTCCTATGGAGTCTGTGCGGTCACACCAGCCACCCTGTCCCAGGCCGCCACAGCAGTGCCCCAGCCTAGCTGAAGAGTCGGATGGTGCCATCTGCCCCAGAGGAGAAGATCCATGGCTGTGTGGGGTGGAAGGTCACATCCAGAACACCCAGATCGCGGGTCAGTGTGTGCCCCTTAAGCACCTTGACGGGTACCAGCAGTGGGTTCTGTAGCAAGTCGCTGTGGAAGACAGACAGGGGTTTAGGGCCCAGTGGGATGGCCCATGGGGAGGGAGGGCGGGCGGGGCAAGGGTTAGCACTCACTTGTACACCATGCCATGGCAGACGATGACACTGCCGTCATCTGAGCCAGATGCGAAGAGTGGGTACCGGGGATGGAAGGCCACAGCCCGTAAGGCTTTCTTGTGGTGCCTGCGGAAGAGTGCATTGGCACTGGGCTCCAGCAGAAGGGCCCTACCTACCTCACCACTACCCACCTTACCTCAGCACTTTATATGGCTTGGTGGAAAGATCCAGGTCAAACCACACCAGTTTGCTGTCATAACTGCCACAGATGATGTTGTCACCTAGGGCCAGAGACCGTGACAGTATTTCTCACAAGACTTAGAGGGTTTGTTCATTCCCCACCCTGACTTGGAGAAGAATCCACGTTCTCCTCACCTGCTGGGTGTACAGCCAGGCTAGAAACCCACTTGCAGTTGGGCATGAGCTTCTTGGTAAGCTCCTGGCGCAGCAGGTGGTAAATGCGGACACTTCGCTGAGAGGCCACAAGCAGGAAGGGCCGGGTAGGGTGGAAAGCCACGCACTGCACCTGTCCATGGCTACGGCGGAACGGGCTCTGGCTGCGCCTCCTGCTCAGCTGGTGGATCAGCACCTGAGTATGTCCTGGGCTAGACAGCACCACAGCCAGGTAGTCCCCTCGCCCATGCCAGGTCACCTGCGTCACTGGCTAGAGAAGAGCAATGCCAGCTGATTATCTGACCAGCTTTGGCATGTTCCCATCCCCTTCCCGTCACATACCTTGCTGTGGCAGATACGTAGTCGCAAGCCCCTCTGGTGTTCTTCCTCCGAGGCCTCTAGCCAGCGGGCTGGTTGCAACGTTGGCTCTTCAGGTGGAGTGAAGGCTCCCAGCATCTGGTCTGTGCTGCCCACCAACAGCCGGTCTCCCAGGGCTGGGCTCAGAAGCAGCACTGCATCATCCCTACAAACCAGGGCCAGACACAGCCCCTCCTCAGCATAGTCCCCACTTTCCTGTGCCCCTTCCCAGCCCTACCCAGAGTCCTAAACTCACATGGCTGCAGCTACTAGGCATATGGCAGGATTGGGATTCCAGGCAATGCTCCGTACCACACCCCCAACAAGCACAGTCTTCATACAGCGGGCAGTGGCCACCTCCCAGAGCCTCACGGAGCCGTCATCCGAACCTGGGTGTCGAGTGAAAGCTCTCAGCATCTGAGCCTCTCACCCGGATCCCTGCCTCCCAGCTCAGGGCAGCCCCCACCTGAGGCCCACCTGAAGCCAGCCACTGGCCCCCTGGGGAGACACTGAGGCAGCGAACAAGGTCACTGTGGCCCCTGTAGACCTGCAGAGAAGGAAGGGTGAAGAGGGACAGACAGACACGCACACCTCGGGGCATCTGCCCACCTCTGACTGCCCACTTACGAGGGCCTGGCACACAGGGAAAGGCTGAAGGTCTCTTGGCCGAGGAAGCTTGGGGATGAGGTCTTCAGGGTCCACATTCACCTGGGGTGAGAACACTGAGTCACTACCTACCTTCAGCCCACACCTCCCCGGGACCCACGTGGGCGCCTAACATACCCTCATCTTGCGTTGCCGTGGGCACAGATACAAGTCAAGGCAGCGCTCAAAACGTTCCTGGATGAAGCGGCCATAAGCAGGCACTGTCCTCAGGCTGGGAAATTTCTGGGGCAGGAAGTTAAGCTTCCGCTCACCAGGCTCCTGCTGCAGCCATGCCAGGCGCTGGGGAGACAGGACACGGGTGAGAAGGGATCCGGGACCGTGGCCGGGGGCCATACCCATCTCCGTGCAGGCCCACCTCCTCCTCGGTGGGCAGGTACTCAGGAGGTGGGTTATAAGACTCCGCATGGCCTGGCAAGGCCAGCTTGGGTGCAGGCACATGCATCTTGTGGCGCCCCAACACAGCATTCGGATCCTCCTGAGCCCACAGGTCATAGAAGCTAGGTGTGGAGTCCGGGGGCCGTCGAGGCTTGATCCAGCCCATCTTGATGGCGTGCACCATGCGAGACACCTGCACACAAAGCTAAGTCAAGTGGCAGCACGGGAACCTTAAATGAGGGGTCGAGGGAAACGATGGGGTCCCCACCTTCTCCTTTTCAACTAGAGATGGAATGAAACTACGCTTGTCGGCTGGGCGGTTGGTCACAGGGTGGATCATGACGTCACCACTGAAGAAGTCCACGGCTGGCTAGGGAGACAAGCATAGATGTCAGGCTGGGGTGCTGTATGTGCTTCCTCCCCTAGGGCCAGTTGCTACCTACCTCATAGGGGTTGAAGCCCAAGTCTCCAAACTGGCCTTTCTGAAGCCGCTGGACCAGGGCCACCTGCTCATCAGTCAGCCGCAGATCACGCCCTGTCATCTTGTCCTGCACAGTGCGCCTGAGGGAAAGCGAGTCAGAGCCATTCTCCAGGCCTGAGGAACCACGCAGGTTCTGACCCAAGGCCCAACTCACCAGAAATCTGGGTCATCCATTTTGTCCAGAAACTGGTCCAGCTCATCTCGTGTCCGCAGGGGCTTGTAGATACGTTTGCCATCCAGGTCATAACCCACATGTGGGAAGTCTTCGTACCATGCCAGGGGCACATTGCCTACAGTGTTCCGAATGTCCTGTAGCATAGTCACCACGTCAGCACCTGTCCCTACCATACTTGATCCTCTTCAAGCCACCCTAGATCAGCCTCAAGTGCTTAGAGGCCAGGTGACCCAAAGTCTGCCCTGTCCCTGGCCCCAAGGTCTGACGTGGCATGGCAGGGGTGCTGTTCCCCTCCCCCCAAGCCCTCTGAGGCGCCACAGCTTTACCTTCACATTTTCCACTGAAGTGATGCCAACCCTAGTCTCCCCCCCTTATTGGATTCCTTGGCCAGGGCTCTGGGCAGCCACAGACAGGGATGACCTCATCGCCTATGGGCTCCCTCCCCTGGCAGCAGCCTTAGGCAGAAGTGGGTAGTTAGACGGCAGGAGCCACGGAAGACCCCACCCCAGCCGTGGGAAGACCAGCCCCCGTTTTGCTCAGCAGGTGACCAAGGACCCCTTCTAGCACTACTGGTCCCCCCTCCCACTTCAGCGGGCAGAGCCGCCGCATTCCTGGACACACATTCCTGGTTTCAGCCCCTGCCAGCCACCACCCTCACTCCTCCCAGCCTGGGGACTGCTGCCCAGGCGGCCACTTCCTGCAACAGTAGCCACAAGGAGGGGGCCCAGACATAACTAGCACAGCTGAGTGCCGGCAGCCCCTCAGCAAGACCCCGTGGCCCTGTCCCATTGCACCTGCCCACACCAACAACCCTTTCCAGCAAGTTCTTCCCCCAAACGCCTGTGTCCTTGCCGTGCTTGCCACCTAGGGGCCACTTCCAACCTGGAGGCCGAGGAAGTGCAGACCTCACTATCCACGTGTGCATTGGCACCGAGGAGCCCCATGGAGCGCACAGCAGGGATGGGGGTGGGGTCTCCCAGACAGGATGGGTCAAAGAGGTAAGATCCTGGCACAAAGCACAGGTCATACAATCAGCTTATTCCATCCCTACACACCCACCTCTAGACAGACAGACAGACACACACACACACACACACAGAGCCTGGCACAACAAAAGACCCAAGTGCACATGGAGGAGAGTCAGACAGGGTGTGGCGGAGCACTCAGGGCCAGGGCAGCTGGGTGAACTTAGGCATGCCAGGGGAGAAAGGCTCTTCGTCTCCTGAGTTATCTTCCTCCCTGCAGACTGAGTAGAATGGGCACCATGGTCCTGGGGCATCGGTAGCAGCCCAGAAACTCCCCAACCAGAAAGATGCTCAGGACCCCCTAGGCACCGCCGCCTTTAAAAGAGAAAAGGTGCACAGGCTCTGCATAAACTCCCCCAGGCCAGGGAGGGAGGCGGAGGCCAGGCGCGGGGGAGGAGCCGACTGTTATAAAGGCGCTGCTCTGCTGGCGGCCCCACTCCAGTCCGAACACATGTGCCCGCCTGGCCCGGCAGCCGCCACCGCGGGGCGCAGCGGAGACCCCTGGCCCGGCGGCCTGTGGGGGCCTAAAGAGGCGGCATGAACAGCGCACCGTGGAGCTGACGCCGCGCCCCCTGCCCGGCCCATGTCCTTCGCCATGCTGCGCTCGGCACCGCCGGGCCGCTACCTGTACCCTGAGGTGAGCCCGCTGTCGGAGGATGAGGACCGCGGAAGCGAGAGCTCGGGCTCCGACGAAAAACCCTGCCGTGTGCATGCAGCGCGCTGCGGCCTCCAGGGCGCCCGGCGGCGGGCAGGAGGACGGAGGGCCGCGGGGAGCGGGCCGGGACCCGGGGGGCGGCCAGGCCGCGAGCCCCGGCAGAGGCACACAGCGAATGCGCGTGAGCGGGACCGCACCAACAGCGTGAACACGGCCTTCACCGCGCTGCGCACACTCATCCCCACCGAGCCAGCAGATCGCAAGCTCTCCAAGATCGAGACGCTGCGCCTGGCTTCCAGCTACATTTCTCACCTGGGCAACGTGCTGCTGGTGGGTGAGGCCTGCGGCGATGGGCAACCATGCCACTCGGGACCTGCTTTCTTCCACAGCGGTCGCGCGGGCAGTCCCCTGCCACCGCCACCACAACCACCACCTCTGGCCCGAGACGGAGGCGAGAACACCCAGCCCAAACAGATCTGCACCTTCTGCCTCAGCAACCAGAGAAAGTTGGTGAGCAGGGTTGGGAGAACGGAGGGGGTCCCGATTTTACTCATCAGCCTACACCTGCCAGGCAGAGGTACCAGGCAGAGGCAGCACCCCCTAATACCTACACCTGCCACCAAAGCTGGGCCCACAGAAGGGAAGGGCCCACAGGAGCCACACCTTGGGACACTGACTCCTGCAAATACAGGGTCAAAACGTAGCATGGAGAAGGGCACCCAGGAGAAGGTCTGGAGGGAGGGAGGGCACCAGGATCCTAGCAATGCTGAGGGGCCGTTCCAGGCTTTACTTCCCAGCAAGTTGAGAACTGAAAAGAGCTGAGTTCAGGGATTAAGAAGTATATCCATAGCCCCACCCAAAGGGGAAGAGTGCAGCAGTGAGGCAATGAGAGAGGGAACCCCCACCCCGGGGCGCATGAGCCACTACCCTCCGCCTCTGCAGCACCTCTACCCAAAGCACGGGGCACCTGCTGCCCCTCCCCTAATCCTCGGGAGCCCTGCAGGGAACGGGTTAGGGGAGAAGGCTGAACTGAGAGATGCTGGCCAGCCATGATTTACTGCTCTGGCCGCACTTGGTGGCACCGGAAAAGCAGGGTGAGCAGGGAAAAAATACAACGGCTTTCCCCAATCCCCATTTCCTCTCCAGACGTGCAGCACGCAGGAGCTCCTGGGGCCTGAACATCTGGGAAATTTAATTTTACAGTTTCGGCTGTGCAGTAGTGTACTCCCCGCCCCACAATGCACTGGGGGGGGCGTGAGCTGGGGACTGGGGTGCCCTAGCACGGGCCACTGAGACAGTGCCCCACAGGAAGCCAGGAAGGTCCAGGCAGTGCTGGGTGACACTAGGTCTCCATCCAGACCCTGACACACCCCCATCCCCTCTACAGAGCAAAGACCGGGACAGAAAGACCGCGATTCGAAGTTAGAAGGAGGAGGGTCCACAGCAGCCACGAGGTGATGCCACTAGAGAAGGTGGAGCCACTGAAGAGCCACGGAGAGCCCCACCTTGGACCTGACCTGAGCACAGGTCCCCAAGCGCACGCTCACCAGGCCAGACCTGCCCCAGCCATGAGCAGGGCCTATGAACAGAAAGACGGACAGGCGCTATGGCTTGACTCTCAGGAGCCCACACTTGTCCAGGCCCACTGGAACTTTCCATGCAGACTCCCTACCTGGGCCAAGTGTTGGCATCTTGTGTCTTTAATATGATAATATAAAGTCTGAAAATTTTGTATAATTAAAAATGAAACAGTATCTTCCAACCGAGGCCAACTGCCCTCTTGAAAGGATCTGAGTGCACTCTGACCCTAGCTCTCCCCATCTTCCCAGAGACAGAGCGATGACAGGGTTACATCACCCAGCAAGAGCCTTGTACCAGAGACCTGGGATGCGTGTGCTGGGGGGGGGGGGGACAAAAGGGACAGGGCAGGGGGAAGAGGGTGGAGAGGTAAAAGAGAAGGAGAGGGCAAGCCCATGATAGGTGGCCGCAAACAACACAGCAGCCTTGCCTCCTCCCGAGGAGCACGCTGAGGGAGGACCAGATGGGGTCTTGTGCTCACGGACATGTGGTTTCCCCAGCAGCGCCCCATCTCAAGTGGGTATAGGAGGAAGGAAGCAGACCTGCCCAGCCAAGGAGGCTACCAGAGCTAGACAGGCCTGAGGACACCATCTGAGTAGCAGCTACCCCAATGTCCCCACTGATCCCCACCTCAGCCCAGGGAGACTTGGGGTTCACTGACTGCCAGCGCTCCTGCTCTGCTCCCAGCTGTACACTGGAAAGACTCCTAGCCACCCGACACCCTGTCCTACCCCACTCTCCCAAAGATCCCTCTGGCCCCTGAGGTTGATTTAGACCCTCGCCAGGCTCTGTGCACAGCTGGCCGGTCATTAAAACCGTGCAGGTGACAATTAGTTGAGTGGTACAACAGAGCAGAAAGGCCAGGCCTGACTTCTGGCTGGGTGTTGGGTGGGGAATGGCAGAGGGCACCAGGTGCTGTCACTGGCAGGCCTCCTGGTCCCTGCTTGGGGGGAGACCAGGTGTTGAGGCCCATGTGGGCATCCTCACAGGGCAGGGCCAATGTGGCCCCTCCTCTGCACTAAAGGGCTCTAGGGAATGCTGGTGCAGGAAACAGCGGTGTAATTTTGGAGGAAATTCTCAAAGCCAGAGCCATTAAGGCAGGGGTAGGGGGCTGTGTCCAATCTGATAGAAATATAACAGGATAAAGAGTCACAGCGGCAGGTTTTGTTCAGAAAGAAACCCAACCCCAAATTTCCTCCCCTTAATCCTGTAGGAGCTCACAGCTGCTCAGAGGGAGGGAGAGAGGGCACACTTCGTCACCATCACCGCAGAGGCTTCTGCAGCCCAGGAAGCCAGAACCTGGAGGTGCAGCTGGGGCTGTGAGGGAAGCCACCTTCCCTTCTCATATACTCCTCACACAAGGTTCTGTCTGCCCAGCTTCACTCCCAAGCTACAAGGACCCCGTGACAACGCGGGGTTGCGTCCCAACCTGGCAGTGTGCAGTGCCCACCCAAGGACCCTGCTGGCCTTCCTCCTCTGCTAGACATGGGTCTACTGCCTCTCACCCGTAGGCCTCACATTTCAATAGCTTAGGTAAACTCTGGGAGGACCAATAACGGAGTGAGACCTGCTTCTGTGGTCAGAGTGGCTGAGCCAGTGAGGACTAAAGCAAAGGAACATGCACACAAGAGGCTCTAAGAGACAGTCCCCAAAGAGCAAGCTGGAGAATACTGTAGGGCTACAGAGGCCCGAATGATGCCCAGCTAGCCGCAATAGCATCTCATGACCTAGAACCCAGTGGAGGAGGAGAGAGCAACTGCGGGATTAGGGCAGAGCAGGAGAAAGCAGGGCACCCAGAAGCTGGCAGGCGTGGGTTTCAGCAAGACTGAATGAAGGGCCACATCAACCAGACAAGAGCTGGAGGCTTGGGTGTCAA